ACAATCTGGGTTATTGCTGGCTCTCAAGTCCTACAAACGCGGCTACTTTAGATTTGGATGGAATTCGGCTGATTTGACAAACATTCACGTGTTCAGCTCTTTCTAGCAATTCGATAGACTTATGTGGTCAATGGCGTCGAAATTTTGCATTCGGAATATCTTGCAATGAAGCTTTTTCACTTGCCCCTAGAGTGACGAGCTAAGTCCATTGTAGTTCTTCATTTCCCGCAGTTGCAGATTTACTAGAAATCTATTCTTTCTATTCCTACTTGTTCGGACTGTCCAGGTGCAACGATTGCCTACGACGTCCTTCAACTCTTCCCCTTCACCTCCGAGGCGAAGCGTATGGGCATAGTTGTGCGGGATCGTGCCACTCAGGCCATTCACTTTTACTTGAAGGGGGCCGACACCGTAATGGCTGGTCTGGTGCAGTACACTCCCTGGATGGAGGATGAAGCGGGAAACTTAGCGCGTGAGGGCCTCCGTACCCTTGTTGTAGCACATCGGGAGCTCACCGAGGAACAGTATGCTGACTTCGCCTCGCGGTGCGTAAATCTCCCATCTCTATCGTTTCTACTTCAATTCCTTTTGCTGTTTTATTAAGTCGAATCTATGCCTTATAACTGTAGAATTTTTATATTTGATTGCTCTCTTCGAAGACCATTAATAGGAGTAGTTGTAATCTCATTGAGGTTATTTATGCTCATCGTTCTTGACAGTTTCTGCAACCTTTCACGCTTCTTCTCTTTATCAATGTAACTGCTCGATATTTTGAATCAAAATCAACTTCAGCAAATGAGGAAAGATCACATGTTTCCTTTACGAAGTGGAGGTCCTGCGGTTCCTAAATTACAGCTTATTGGCCGCACTGTATTGTGAGTGGATCTGCCTTGAAACATTTTCCATACCAAGCGCTTGCTGTAGCGATGCTAATCTACAACCTATAGTTTTGTGAGACTGAAGTGGTTTTCGCTTCCTTTGGAAAATTCCTGTTATGGTATGATAACATCGTTGTATTTCATCAATTTAGAGTGAACAAGCCACATTGGAAACCTGAATTAGTTTTCTTGAAGCGCTTTGTGTAAATGTTTGTTTTTTCCCTCTAGGTTGTTTACTACTTAGCTTGGTAGGAACTCTTGGTGCAGTTTAGTAGATTCAGCATGGTCGGCTTCTGCGTAGCTGATGGGACTGAAAGTAAAGCAACCATCGCCTCGTTATTTCAATGTGTTAGTTGATGTCGTAGAGGCCTCTCATTATTGTTTTCATCCAACATTCAATTTGCAGAGGATGGCGTTGGAAGGTTTAACGTTACTTTATTGTGTTGCTCTACGTAACCACTAGTCAATAATGGCTGAGTGCATAAACTTCGTCAAAGCCTAAGGTAGTATTTTCTGCCCCAGGAATTAAGGGAACGTTGCCTTGTTTTGCGTTTTGAAGCTTTCTAATTGACAATAGTAAAACATTGCCCTTTTAACAACCTATGTCGTTTTGTCCACGCCAAAGTGAAGGTTGGCTGGGTATTTTATGAAACGTTACTTTGTTTAGTCGTTAGGATTAAGGGCTTCATCACGTGCACAGTTGTCTAATTTTGCCTAAACATGCATTTAAATGCTTAGA